AATCTGGAAGCTGAGATGGTCTAAATAATCAAATCACACTCAACAACTTGCAAAATCTAAAATCTGAAAAACAAAAAATAAACTAAATACACTATTTCAGTTCATAATGCACATTTTCATATCTAAGAGCTCTCAAACAAAAAACTATACTAAATAAACTATTTCTTCCTCTTAAAGTCTCCAAACCTATTGATTAACTACAATGACTATTCAAAATCTAGATTTGGCGGTGTACCAGATGTCGAGAGTGATTGAAGTAATGTTGGTGGTAAAGGGAACAAGAAACGCAGATCTACAAAGATCTAACTCAAATCCAGAAATCCACCCCTTTTCTTCATCATAAACTCGGATCAATATGGAGGGAGCTGAAGTGAAAGGGCCTACTGTTGTATACAACAACGTATTTGGGGATGGTGTTTAGATTTATGGTGGTTTACGTTTATACAGAAGGTGGTGGTGTTGATGACGATGAAGGAAATGGGGATGGTGGTAACGTTGTTAGTAATGTGAGGGTTTTATGGAGCTGGTGCCGGTGGTGAGATTGCTTGTGGTGGTAGTGAGGACTATTTGAGAGGAAAAACAATATGAATGATATTCTTTAAAAAAAGGTCGTTAAGAATTGAGTAGAGGTGGTCATAGTGGTCAGGGTTGTAGAGGAAGTGTGGGAGGAGGTCACATCTTAAGTTTGAAGCTACGGTTTTCAACGATGGATTATATTTATATTGTAAATATTTAGTTTTGATTGGCTTAAACTTATTCACAAGGATCACCAATATATAATTAATCTACACCATTCAAATTAAATCTAAGGTTTATATCTCACCTCCTTATTTTTAAGACTTTGGTCTTAAAAAATTTTGGTCTCCTATTATTTATGCATTATAAAGTAGTATATATATATATATATATATATATATATATATATATAACTTATAATACTATAAAGTATAAGGGTTGAATTTTAACTTTTAAAATTCTAAGGGCTTAACTTGGATTTAAAGTATTCACAAGGGAAAACTTTTCAAGTTCCAAAACATGAGGGCAAGTTTTTGAAACTATTAAAAACTATTCAATTCCATAACTTATGTGTTTAAAGTAGTTTTTAATACAAAAAACTCTTCAAGTTCCATAACATGAGGACAAGTTATGGAAGACTTTAAACTATTAAAAGAATGTAACTTTTCCTTTATTCATAACTTATGAAATATTTATGAGTTTTATGATTCTTAAATGTGACTTTTCATGTAACTTGAGGACAAGTTACAAAAACACATTTTAGAATCAACTCTTAGATTAAAATGGATTGAAAACAACAATTTCACATAACTTTCCTATTAATCTAAGCAACTCATAAGAACAAGATAATTCAAATCAAACTTTTTCATGAAATTAGCCTAACCATTAAACTAATACAAAACATGAGTCTATTGATAATTATCTTTGAAATTGGATTAGAATGAACATTACCACATCAAAAACAGGTTTATAGGTTCAAAAACAGCTTAGGGTAATGATTCTAGTCCAATTCCAGCCTTAAAAGTCGAAAATATACTGTCAGGGAGTCCTACTCGTCGAGTGTATGAACCTACTCGACGAGTAGGATGAGTTTCCTCATGGACTCGGCGAGTCCATCAGTGGACTCGGCGAGTCCAGTGCCCAGACAGCCCAAAAATCATTTTTTTTCAGCATTTTTCAGCACTTTGCATCAAGTATAATTGAAAACAAGCCTAGGCTCTGATACCACTGTTGGGTTTTGAGCATTCTAACACTCCTAAGTGTAAATGCAACCCTAAATACATTGGATCTATGTTTTCTCTATTATACATGCAAATATGAATATTCCAAGGTATTACCCTATCTAGCATACAATCTATGATACTTGGATAATAAAAACAAGTTTGAAGACATACCTTTTTATGTAGCTTGATTCCTTGATGCTTAAGAGCCGAGTGTCCCAAGTGTGACACCTCAAATGGTTCACACAACATCAAATACACTTGGAATAACTTAGAGAGAAATGAACCACTTCATGAAATCGGCTAGCCCTCACCATACACACATAGTTCTCTCATGGTCGCCAATTTTGACAAGAATAAGATGCTTATTGTGACAACCGTCAAAATTCGAGTCAATTCTAGAATAGATAAACTTAGTTGCACGTATAGGCACGACACATACTAGACTTAGTAACTAGAAGTTAAGATAAAACCTATTAGAAACTTGGAAACAATTAGAAACAATGGATAATGTGCTTGGATTTCACATTGGTATGTGAATTCTACAACTACTTAATTGTAGTGACTATCCACACTCGGGCCATTCCTTGACTTGAACACCATTTCATGAATTATATACACCCATCATACACTTGACCTAGTAGTAGAAATTAGGTCAAAGTCTCATAGAAACTTAAGTCAAAGTTGAAGACTAGGACTAGTATACTTGATTCCTCAATTTCGCTTGAATTTCGGAATCACTACATAGAATGCCAATAAACCGGTAAAAACAAATTACAAACATTATTTCTAATTTGAATAAGGGTTATGAAACTCAAAAATAATTTAAAAAGTCTCAAAATTTAATTAATTTTGATATCCAAATATTTATTAAATCTCAAGACCCTAAAAGCCATAAAAACTCATATTTATAAACTTTAACCTTAAAAATTCTATAAAAATAATTATGAAACTTATAATATGATCTTATAATAATTAAAATTATGAAAATGCATTTATGGAAAATAAAATTTAAGTCATTAACAATTACCCTAAATTTATAAGTCAAAAATCAAGGTTTCATGAGCAAAAACTTGGTTAGGGTGTATATTTTATAAAAAGTTTGATATTTTTATAAAAGAATTGAATTTTTTTTATAAAATTAAAAGAGAGGGAGGGCATTTTACACTCAAAACCGTCCACCCTCTTCCCAAGACACTTCCCCTCTTCCCAAAACACATAATCACTCCTTCTCTCTCACACTCCATCTCCTTCACTTCTCTCTCTCTCTCTCTCTCTACACTCTCTCTCACACTCCACCATTTACCACACTCAAACTCTCTCTTTCTCTATCTAAAACCACGAAATTATCCAGCCAAGAACATCTATTAACCTTCAAATCTTCATCTTCTAGGGTTGTTCTTCATGGTAATCACGGAAATCCTTCAATCTCCTTCACTTTTCTTTCTAGTTTTAAAGGTTTTTCTTGCACTTGTCCTTCTTCTACACCATTCTTTGTGAACATTCATGATCATAGCCATGAATTTCGAGTTTTATGATGATGGTGGTAGGGTTTCACCCAAGAACAACATGCATGTTGTTTGATGGTGAAATCCAAGGACCAAAACCTATGTCAAACCCTAAAATAAGAATTTTTACAAGTTTTAAAGGTTCATATACCTTATGCATTCAAGTTTTTCCTTGAAAAACATCACTATGAACAAAATATATCCATGCATGGTCTTCAAACTGTGATGCATGTAATGAACAACAAGTTAAAGAGCTTGATGATTAAAGTATATTGTTAATAGTGCATGTAAATGATTTTATTCATAAAAAAATCTAAAAATCTTTTTTCTGTTCAAAAAAAAATTTTCTCAGAATCCCAGTAAGATAATAAGAGGATCTGGAAAATACCAAGAGTTTTTATCATTTCCTTGATTTACTAAAATTGTTACAAGAAAACAAGGCCATATATCATATAAAATAGTTTCTGAGGTCTATAAATCCTAGAAAAATTCTTGGATGACCCCTAAGGTAATTAATGACCTCTCATTAAATTTCATCGATTTTTGTTCCTGTATAGTATGGTTTTGAGTTTTCTTTTTGTTTAGCTTCAATAAATCATAACACCACTTTAGAAAATGTGAAATGGATACTTAATAATTTTCACAGCTCCTACCCTATGTGGAAGACTTCGAAAAAAAGTTTCAGAATTTTTTATAATGCATTCCTATTTGTCCTCGATTTTTGTATTTATAATGGTCTAAAAACAGGAAAAATAGTTTTACTCATCCAAAATTCATGAAAATTTACCAGAACACCTTACAACATATTAGAATCCTACATAAAAATTTTGATGATTTTGCTCTTCTATATGCTATTTTTCTTCTATTTTCCCAAGATTAAATACACTTAAATCCATTTTTTTATTAAATAAATGCACAAAAATCATAAATCCTATAAAAATTCTTGGATGACCCCTAAGGTAATTAATGACCTCTCATTAAATTTCATTGATTTTTGTTCCTGTATAGTATGGTTTTGACTTTTCTTTTTGTTTAGCTTCAATAAATCATAAAACCACTTTAGAAAATGTGAAATGGATACTTAATAATTTTCGACCCTTTGTGGAAGACTTAGAAAAATATTTTCAGAATCTTTTATATTGCATTCCTATTTGTCCCCGATTTTTGTATTTATAATGGTCTAAAAACAGGAAAAATAGTTTTACTCATCCAAAATTCATGAAAATTTACCAGAACACCTTACAATATATTAGGATGCTACATAAAAAATTTGATGATTTTTCTCTTCTGTATGCTATTTTTCTTCTATTTTTACCAAGATTAAATACACTTAAATCCATTTTTTTATTAGTATATACTATCAATTCCTAAAACCTTAGCTATAATAAAGTTCTTTCTCTTTCTTATTTTGACACGGGATTCTTTGGCTTTGTTATTTTGGCACTAAAACTTCTGTTTCTTCTTTTCTCGCGCAACCCAGTATACATTTTACCATCCTTATCTTCTCTTCCTCAAAGGCGGTTGCTGCCCTTCTCATCAATGATATATATTACGCTTTCTTTACTTATTTCCTCTCCCACACCGTCTCTCTCCCTCGGTGACTGACGTTCGAGCTGTTGCTGGTGATCGACGAATGATAAAGGAGCAGCAGTCGGCGACCAGTCCAAAGTTGCCTCCGACGACGTATCAAATGTTTCCCGCGTCGCACGGGACACACCACCGCCTTAACCTCTGTCTCCCAAAAATGACACCCTAAATGGTTGGTGGGTTGCCGAAGGTGAGGCGCTGCAAGGTAGGTCGGTTGAAGGAGTCCAGACCATCTATTGTTTCCGATTTGGGGGTACTGATTATCACCCACCATCCTCTCCACTTCCACAGGTCGATGTCTGATTTCATTTCATTCTTATGTAGGTTTCGATGAATTTCATAGGGAGTTCAGGGTCGACTTTCGAATTTCAGGTATATCACCCGTAATTTCGGATTTGAAGTTGCTTAGACTTTGATTTTATTGTAACTTCAATTCATATTTCATTAGTTTGATTTTATGTTATATTAATCATTATTTAGAAACGACGTTTCATATCTTGATTGAGCCCCGATTAGTTACTTTTCCTGAAATTCATATGCTGATATCAAATGGTACATGAGACCAATCTGTTGTTCCCAGTGGGGCATCCACCGGTAAGATTTGTTTCTCTCATGACTCAAACTTTTTCTCAGAATGATTTCCCCAAATCCATCTATGCCTATCTTTCTACTTTTGTCATATTTGGTTAAAACTTTTTAAATATATGTAGCCTTTTTATTTCGTATATCAATGGTGTAGACAGTAGACATCCATGCATTTGATTTAACTTGCAAGCAGCCAAGCAGGTATTTTGCTAGAATTTCAGATGTAATAATAACATATGCATATCAATTTTTGTCTTGTAGGCATCTATCAAACACTTGATCTAAGAGATGGAGGCTTGGACTACCTTGGAAAAGGTGTTTCCAAGGTAACCTAATACTCTGGAATCTGAATTGATGTTTTTTGTTTATTTTTGGACACTTTCTATTGTCTGTTTAAACTAAGTTTTACATTCTATGATTAGGTTGCTTCCAATGTGAATACCATTATCGACCCTGCTATTGTAGGCAACGTTTGTTTCATCAATTCACTCTTTCCCCTCAATATCAATCAAAATATTACTATTTTAGTTGACATACATAATGTAAACATATATGTTCATATTACAGGACCCAACTGATCAAACTGGTACTGACAACTACATGGTTCAAAAACATGATGAAACTAAGAACGAGTAGGGCTGGTGCAAGCAAAAGGTAAACTATAGTCTCAACTTTCACATCTTAAATTTATTTATATTTTTTTTTATAAATGATCTACTTTCTTGTATATGCCAAGATAACTGCTGAATGTGGTGACAAAGTTCATATTGTTGGAGATGATCTTTTAGTCACTAACCTAACGGTAAGTTTTCCAAAATTCAATTTCAAGTTTTGTGAAGGGCAAAATCATCATTTTAAAAGATTTAACGATCTATAGACCACCAAGGGGACCCAAAATATTAGTATAGCAGAATGACCCAAAGACAAAGAAGCAGTCGGTTTCTTCCAATTTTGTTGTCTTTGGAGTTTAGTTATTTGGTTTGAAATTGGTTTAACAAATTTCAAGAATTTTTTTTAGGTTATCTTTAATTAACTCTGTCTATTGGATTTCCATCTGAATTTGGTACTAAGATTAAATTGTTTATTTCTATTGATTCTCATGATTTCAATTTTTTTTTGTTCTTCAAGGATACAAAGGTTAGCTGATATGAAAAGGTTAGCATATATGAATAAAACGGTAAAACTTGTAAAGATTGGATTGTTTATTTCTTTTTTAGATAATTTGCATAAATATATTATTAATTAGTTTTTTTATTGCAGATTTTGGCACCGTGTGTTCTGTTAAACCGACCAACTAAATTGGTTTGGGTTAGTTGGATTTCTACAAATTTACATTTTTTTAAGGTTTAGGAAACTTATAGTCTCTTTTTCTATTTGTTAGTATCTTACACTCAATGTTTTTAGGTAATCATCATGGACAGAGTTACTGTTAAAATCATGTCATGTTCATGCAAAATGGCAGATATCACAGATGAAGGCGTTTCATGTAAGATACAAAGGCCAGTATAACAAAATGTGAATTACTTTTTTCTTAATCTTATATAATGGTCAACATGTTTTACTCATATTGGTAATTTTGAGTTAAGAATGACATTGGAATATATATTGTGAAGTCACTTGACATGTTTGTATTCTATAGAGGTGAAAAATATATTTATTTTTTTTTCTTACAGTGGTGGAACAAATTCACAAGAGAAGACAACCAGTCCCCTCCATGGATGTCGCAGTATACTACATCCAACCAACAAAAGAAAAGTAAATTATTTTATCTTTTTTATAAAATCAACAACTGATAGTATCTTAATTGTGTTCTTTTATGCTTCTGTTAAAATACATACAGTCTTCACTTCCTATTGGCTAACATGGCTGGAAAAGTGCCTCTATATAAAGAGTATGTGAAAGATCATACACCTTTTTTTTGATGTTATAAATCATGTATCCAAGACTATTAATATCATTGAATTTTACAACTTGATTTATTTATGCTTTTAGAGTTTATGTCTTCTTCAGTTCATCTGTTTCAAAAGAATTGGTTGCTGACATAAAAAAGGAGCCAAGTATAAAGTCTCGCTTACGCGGCATGAAAGAGGTTTGGTTAAACATTTTCATTATCCCTTTTCTTCGCGTAATATAAATAAATTTTTAATTATAATAACATGTGAGGGAATTTGCAGATGAACTTGGAGTACTTTGCCATTCATAGCCAGGTATATAATCTCATTTACATAAATTGATTTACCTTTTTAATAAGATTTATTTAAGTTAAAATTATACCATAACAGTGTTTTATCACAGATCATGGGAGCGCGTTGGAAGAACTTTATGGGGATGAAGAATTTTCCCGAAAAGGAGATGAATGTGTAACTGCCATGGCCAATCGTATTGCAACTGTATTTGCTTCAATGTTGGTATGATTTTATAATAGTTCATTTTTTACCTATCTATTTATCAAATATAAGGTAAAAATTAGCAATGTATTTATATTTATTTTCATATAACAACTTAGTTTAACACATAATAGCAATGTACTTATATTTTGTATTATGTGTTAAAGAAAATGTAAGTACATTGTTATTATGAGTTACATATTACTATTATTGTTGACAAATGTGAGCATGTTCTTATTATGGGTAAATAAATGTAACTATGCATAAAAAAAATAAAGTACATTGTCTATATTTGTAACATGAGTATGTTGCTATTTCTTACAATTTACTCATATTTCTTTAGGAGTTCCCATTTGTGCGTTACAGAGCTGCCAAATCACTTGACCCCAAAACAATGACAGCATTTTGTGATCTAATCCCTACAAAACTTGTTGCTGCTGTTTGGAATAATCTTATGAAATATAAAACTCTCAACCACTTCCCACAAATTGAAACATGCGATTTGCTCATTTCTATGTAAGTCGTATGAAGACCTCTTCTATATATGTAATATGTTTTGATTAATATAATACTATGTTTTACCATTTGCTACAGCTTGAAATAAGGAAAAAAAACAAACACAGCGCCAAAGGCGCATGTAATTCCCCTCTAGTTAGAATAAATGCACAAAAATCATAAAATTGGGTTAAACAGTTTATAAATCCATTTTTATATTTTTCCCAACTTAAAATGTTTAATAACAGTAATACAAAAAGTTTGGGTAATTTTGGAAACTGTTTTCTATTTATCTCCATTTTTTTTATTAGAATAAATGCACAAAAATCATAAAATTGGGTTAAACAGTTTATAAATCCATTTTTATATTTTTCCCAACTTAAGAATGTTTAATAACAGTAATAAAAAAGTTTGGGTAATTTTGGAAACTGTTTTCTATTTATCTACATTTTTATTAGAATAAATGCACAAAAATCATAAAATTAGGTTAAACAGCTTAGACATCCATTTTTATATTTTTCCTAGATTAAGTATGTGTAATGGCAGTATTATAAAAGGTTTGGGGAATTTTCTTAACTAATTGCTATTTTTCATGAATTTTTATCTATTTAGAGAATTAAATATAAGAAAAATGGTTATACATATCTATAAACCATGAAAATTTATTCGGAAGTCTTTTAATGTAGTTAGAACCAAAATCTAAAGTTTGGTAATTTTTATTAACTGTTTAGTATTTTTCATGATTTTATGGTTATTCAAGATACTAAAATGGTGAAAAATAGTTAGACAAATCAAAACTTCAAGAAAATTTATCTTGAGGTCTTTGACTTCAATTAAAACTGAAATGCAAAGTTTGGGAATTTTTATCATCTGTATTCTATTTTTCACGAATTTATATTGTTATGAAGGCACACAAATTTGGAAAAATAGTTAATCAAATCAAAAATTCAAGAGAAAATTTCTGGAAGACGTCTACTGTATTTTAAACAAAAATGTAAAATTTGATGAATTTTGGAAACTGTTTGATAATATTTTTGGATTTTTAGGAGTTTAAAACACATTTAAATGTATTGAAATACCCTCAATTAATATTACAAAAATATGGAAAATGATATCCAAAATTATCTTAATCACATGAGTTATAAAATTTCACCATTTCAGAAAAATGTTTGTAACTTAACAATATTAAATTTTGACACATTATTGGCATAATTCTATTGTAATAATAAGTATATTAGTATTAGATTTCAATTAGAGACTCATTAGTGTGTAACATCGTTGTAGGAAAAACGATAGTGGTACGAGTGGAGGGTAGTTCAAGGCACCATTTGCATCATCTCAATACATATTGTGAGTATTCACCACTCCCCTATTTTCGGTTTTTAAATGTTTTGGGGTGGAAAAACATGTCCTAAACTTTTTATGTTCGTTGTATTTATTTTGACTCGTATGAAACTTGGTTGCTATATTTCGTATGTATGTGTATGTTACTTTAATTCATGAGGACTGTATCGCGGTTAAGTCCCTGGAATCTCTAGACACAACTCATTAACTCTTTTGAGCCTATGGTTATTATGGATAGCGCTATCAGGAGGTAGACAACCCCTCACTCGCACGATTCGCTTGAGTGCATTTTACCATTTTATACACTATGTTTGCGATACACATAGTAGTCAATAGTGCACGATTCGGTCATTAGGCTTGGGTTGTGAACTCATGAATGGAAACTTGATGCAAATACGAATCTTTATGCACATACCAAACTTGTATTCTCATGTTAGCAGCGCCACTTGTATACTTATTTTAGCAACGAAACTTTTATGCTTATTATAGCAACGAACTTTTATTACTGAAAACTTATATACTTGTCTTAGCAATGAAATTGTTTGCTCCTTGTAACAACGAATATTATTTCGATTCGTGAAAACTCATTTTAGCAATATACTTTTATTTATGGAAACTTTTATCAAAACTTTTATTTCGATTCTTGAAACCAATATTATATTTAATCTGTGAGTACTCACCAACTATTTTTATAGTTGACGCTCGTTTTACATGCTTTTTCAGGAATCATCTAGTAAGAGGCACGTAGAGACACAACACTTGTAGGAACATTTGCATGTGTTGACTTTTAAATACATTGTAATTTCTTTTAAAAATTTGTTCAAACTCATTGTAAATTTGTAATGATTTTTAATACTATGGTTGGTGTTGTCTTTAAACTTTTGCTATGAGACCCTTTGTACTGCCACGCCCCGTGTTTCCGCTTTAGCGGGGTGTGACAAAAATGGTATCCGAGCCGAAGGTTAAAGAGAATACGGGTTTTCCTTTGGAGAACCACAACTATAGACAAAAATTTTCAAAACGCTTTTAAAATACTGAACATACTAATGGTATAACTAATTCGAGTACACATTATTGGACTTTAATTAAGTATAGCTTGGCCAACTATGCTTAATTAAGTAAAATTAATGTGAGGCTCGAAACGGTTATAGTAGAACTATGTTCAAAACGATTTTTAACTTAAAACTTTTGAAAAACAAAATTTTACGGTGTGCGTACGGGCATTGCATATTATAGGCATTCATCTAGGTACGCTTAGAAACTAAGTGCACTTTTACCACAATGTCATATTTAGAAATATTCTTATCCTTTATCAAGTGTTAGTTTAACCATTTAGGTTATATCACTAGCCACTTTAGGAGCAATCTACTTAGTACTGAGAATGTGTATTTCCTCGGTAGCTATTGACTTTAGATGTAAGGTTAGTAGCTAGATAGACACTAGTAATAATCTTAAGTCGAAACCTATTCCAATTATTCCTCAATACCTCTTCATCGTCTTCGTACTAGAATTACAAATAGAAAAACGTTCCGATACTGACATGGATAAAAATTGGAGCATCGCGTAAGTAGGTAGGTGAGTCGCCACTAAATAATCACTTGGATACCATTGGCGGGCATTCCGGATTCGACTCATGAGGAGACACGGAGGTTTAACTCATACGTGAGAACGTATTACTACGCTACGATTTAGCTCTAGGTTGCTTCCCACCTTGAGCTTAAAACTTAACATAGGATATCCCTTTGACCTCTATAAAAGGCTGCGAAACTGCATCGGCACCATAAAATGTTTTACAAACAATTTTTCTTGTCCTTTATCTTGGGAAAAGACATCGGTACTCGCCTTATACTCGTCTTATACTCGCCTTACTATTTAGGTACGATCAACTACACTAATCTACTTATTCCTTACTTCTTAATCTTCCATCGAAAAGTTATTTCGTTTCATCGGTTTTATTTATCATCGATAAAATACTTTATAACCACTTCATACAACTTACTAGACCTTTCCTAACAATTTAAGCCATATTCTCGCTAAAAATCTTTTGACAACTTGCTTTAACTTAACACTTTTCTTCAAAACTCAATTTAACCAATAGTGGTTTTTACCTTGCTATTTCAATTTCATTTCAAATCCATTTCAATGGATAGATGTGCTTTTAAGGGCATAGAAACCATTTTAAACCTTGATTACTATTTTGGCACATTTTCGAAAACTTAGAAACATTTTCTTTTATAAAAGTGTTTAAATTCTATTCTATAAAACTTAGACATATGACATTGAAGTTCATATTACGTGTAAAAGCTTCATCGGATCTTTCAAACCACTTTTGTTTTGACTCTTTTGACCACTTTCTCATTTAGGCATTGTACTTTACTTAAACTTGTTTTCTTGAAACCTAACATTATTTTTTTTACAACTTTCTACTCCAAGAGTGATTACAAGGCATCATTAATGCGTACATTTCAAAACACACCTTATTTGTATATTTTATTACAAATTAGTTATATAATCTGTAAAACTTCTAAAATATAAAGCATTGCAAAACTTAGTGTTCACTTTTAAATATCCAGTGTAATTACTCTTCTAAATCTATTGAGTATTTACCTTATATGTTTTAACTATTATTGAACTCCATTCTAAAAAGTCAAATTGTCAGATTTTCAACTATCGTTTGTAGTGCTTCTTCTTTTTCACAAAGGGAGTTTAACTTAATAAGATAACTCGTGATTTTTAGCAAACATTTTAAGACTCTCACATGTCTATTTAATCATCAACATACATCAAATATTGAAGTTTGAAAAATATCTCGACTTGGCTTTAAATCTACCTATACATATTATTCTTAAAATTTTAACAATAACAATCATTGTCGCTGGTACCTTCCTTTTCTATCCCCCGCACTTGATTTCTTGCTCTCCTTCTAATTTTAGATATTGCACACCCACGATAATAACATAATACATTGACTAACTTTGTTTCTGTCTATTTTGCTTCTCTTGGTACCATGTTCGTACACATATAGACTAGAAGTCTACCCTTTCGTTTTGAGAAATTAATACGTGCATAGTCGTGAGACATAATTTTGATTTAGTCAACTTCGATATATTCAGATACGCCTTTTATCATATACATTTTGTTTTTATTTTAAAATCTACTGTAAAAAAAAGTAATCCTTATTCACATTTGTTCTTTCGATCTAAATTGGAAAACTTGATTTAAATCGCAATTTTCATTGTATTTCCCTTATAATTAATACACAAGGTGACGGCCCTTGTTCTTATCATTTTTCAAAATCCAGAAAATATATTTCAAGAATACATTTCTTATGTTTCATCTTTTCTTTAAAATCATAAAAAGTTTTAAATGTTACGATTATTTATCCTTCAAATGATTATTTTTGTAGAATCACTAAATTAAGAATGCGTTCTTTTCGATGATCGACATTTTTACACATTTCTTAAATAGCATTCTACTTTGTAATTTTTAGTGAGTTCCTAAACTCACAACCTTGTTTTCATAAATATTCTGACGCGTAAACTCGAATTTGTCCTGACTTAAGCAATTGGACAATTTCCAAAAATTGTAATATGAATATTTCTATATAAATTCCCTCATTGACGACTTAAACCTTTAACATTAATTAATCTCTTTATTATTTACTACTTCGTTTTATTGCCACACATGTATCTTCATTCTCTTTGAATTATCACATATTTTTAATAACAGTGACATTATTTATCATTTTTAAACGCTCAAAATGCTACCTAAATAATGTGATTTAAAATATCATAAACTTTCATCGCCTTCATTAGAAACAACGACTCTCTAAATATATATGTTCTTCAATTATGGTTCTATTATAGTTAGAGTACATGTAGTGGAAATTATAACTTCGGAAATCCTCGATCGTTTCGTAACTTCTATTGTTGACGGGACTTAAATAGTTTTACGCTTGAGATGTACTAATAGCACGTATCATTAGGAACTTACCCTTGATTGCTTCTCTTTCATTTGTGCTACCCCTTCTTATTTCGAAATATATCTTTTTCCAGATTTAGTAGCCAACTCAGAAGTGAACAAATTGTTCCTAATCTCTTCTTTATTAGGCGGCAAAATTACACTTAGTGTTGATTGAGAATGCAACTTAAGAATCAATGAGGATTTAATGCTCAGTGCAGTTGGTGCTTCATCAAAACTTGTAACGCTATTTTAAGTTAGATAATATCTAACTAGATAATCTTTTTCAACTAGGTCGCCATGGTTAGATCATGATTTCCATGCTCCTAATTTCCCAGTATATAGACTGTGGAACTCGAATTAGGGAAAACACTAAATTGATTATAGCTAAATAGTTGGGCTCTTCCTTTGAGTAATTCGCCCAAAATAATCAAAGAGCTCTTCAAGTCACCATCTCTCCAATTATACAATTGTATTCGGCTGGGTTCTAATAGAATGCGTCACGAATTGAATTTCGGGACAAAATTCTTTCAACCGGGGGAGACTGTGACAACCGTCAAAATTCGAGCAATTCTAGAATAGATAAACTTAGTTGCACGTATAGGCACGACACATACTAGACTTAGTAACTAGAACTTAAGATATAACCTATTAGAAACTTGGAAACAATTAGAAACAATGGATAATGTGCTTGGATTTCACATTGGTATGTGAATTCTACAACTACTTAACTGTAGTGACTATCCACACTCGGGTCATTCCTTGACTTGAACACCATTTCATGAATCATATACACCCATCATGCACTTGACCTAGTAGTAGAAATTAGGTCAAAGTCTCATAGAAACTTAAGTCAAAGTTGAAGACTAGGACTAGTATACTTGATTCCTCAATTTCGCTTGAATTTCGGAATCACTACATAGAATACCAATAAACCTGTAAAAATAAATTACAAACATTATTTCTAATTTGAATAAGAGTTATGAAACTCAAAAATAATTTAAAAAGTCTCAAAATTTAATTAATTTTGATATCCAAATATTTATTAAATCTCAAGACCCTAAAAGCCATAAAAACTCATATTTATAAACTTTAACCTTAAAATTCTATAAAAAATAATTATGAAACTTATAATATGATCTTATAATAATTAAAATTATGAAAATGCATTTAAGGAAAATAAAATTTAAGTCATTAACAATTACCCTAAATTTATAAGTAAAAAATCAAGGTTTCATGAGCAAAAACTTGGTTAGGGTGTATATTTTATAAAAAGTTTGATATTTTTATAAAAGAATTGAATTTTTTTTATAAAATTAAAAGAGAGGGAGGGCATTTTACACTCAAAACCGTCCACCCTCTTCCCAAGACACTTCCCCTCTTCCCAAAACACATAATCACTCCTTCTCTCTCACACTCCATCTCCTTCACTTCTCTCTCTCTCTCTCTCTACACTCTCTCTCACACTCCACCATTTACCACACTCAAACTCTCTCTTTCTCTATCTAAAACCACGAAATTATCCAGCCAAGAACATCTATTAACCTTCAAATCTTCATCTTCTAGGGTTGTTCTTCATGGTAATCACGGAAATCCTTCAATCTCCTTCACTTTTCTTTCTAGTTTTAAAGGTTTTTCTTGCACTTGTCCTTCTTCTACACCATTCTTTGTGAACATTCATGATCATAGCCATGAATTTCGAGTTTTATGATGATGGTGGTAGGGTTTCACCCAAGAACAACATGCATGTTGTTTGATGGTGAAATCCAAGGACCAAAACCTATGTCAAACCCTAAAATAAGAATTTTTACAAGTTTTAAAGGTTCATCTACCTTATGCATTCAAGTTTTTCCTTGAAAAACACACATCACTATGAACAAAATATATCCATGCATGGTCTTCAAACTGTGATGCATGTAATGAACAACAAGTTAAAGAGCTTGATGATTAAAGTATATTGTTAATAGTGCATGTAAATGATTTTATTCATAAAAAAATCTAAAAATCCTTTTTCTGTTCAAAACAAAATTTTCTCAGAATCCTAGTAAGATAATAAGAGGATCTGGAAAATACCAAGAGTTTTTTATCATTTCCTTGATTTACTAAAATTGTTACAAGAAAACAAGGCCATATATCATATAAAATAGTTTCTGAGGTCTATAAATCCTAGAAAAATTCTTGGATGACCCCTAAGGTAATTAATGACCTCTCATTAAATTTCATCGATTTTTGTTCCTGTATAGTATGGTTTTGAGTTTTCTTTTTGTTTAGCTTCAATAAATCATAAAACCACTTTAGAAAATGTGAAATGGATACTTAATAATTTTCGACCCTTTGTGGAAGACTTAGAAAAATATTTTCAGAATCTTTTATATTGCATTCCTATTTGTCCCCGATTTTTGTATTTATAATGGTCTAAAAACAGGAAAAATAGTTTTACTCATCCAAAATTCATGAAAATTTACCAGAACACCTTACAATATATTAGGATGCTACATAAAAAAATTTGATGATTTTTCTCTTCTGTATGCTATTTTTCTTCTATTTTTACCAAGATTAAATACACTTAAATCCATTTTTTTATTAGTATATACTATCAATTCCTAAAACCTTAGCTATAATAAAGTTCTTTCTCTTTCTTATTTTGACACGGGATTCTTTGGCTTTGTTATTTTGGCACTAAACTTCTGTTTCTTCTTTTCTCGCGCAACCCAGTATACATTTTACCATCCTTATCTTCTCTTCCTCAAAGGCGGTTGCTGCCCTTCTCATCAATGATATATATTACGCTTTCTTTACTTATTTCCTCTCCCACACCGTCTCTCTCCCTCGGTGACTGACGTTCGAGCTGTTGCTGGTGATCGACGAATGATAAAGGAGCAGCAGTCGGCGACCAGTCCAAAGTTGCCTCCGACGACGTATCAAATGTTTCCCGCGTCGCACGGGACACACCACCGCCTTAACCTCTGTCTCCCAAAAATGACACCCTAAATGGTTGGTGGGTTGCCGAAGGTGAGGCGCTGCAAGGTAGGTCGGTTGAAGGAGTCCAGACCATCTATTGTTTCCGATTTGGGGGTACTGATTATCACCCACCATCCTCTCCACTTCCACAGGTCGATGTCTGATTTCATTTCATTCTTATGTAGGTTTCGATGAATTTCATAGGGAGTTCAGGGTCGACTTTCGAATTTCAGGTATATCACCCGTAATTTCGGATTTGAAGTTGCTTAGACTTTGATTTTATTGTAACTTCAATTCATATTTCATTAGTTTGATTTTATGTTATATTAATCATTATTTAGAAACGACGTTTCATATCTTGATTGAGCCCCGATTAGTTACTTTTCCTGAAATTCATATGCTGATATCAAATGGTACATGAGACCAATCTGTTGTTCCCAGTGGGGCATCCACCGGTAAGATTTGTTTCTCTCATGACTCAAACTTTTTCTCAGAATGATTTCCCCAAATCCATCTATGCCTATCTTTCTACTTTTGTCATATTTGGTTAAAACTTTTAAATATATGTAGCCTTTTTATTTCGTATATCAATGGTGTAGACAGTAGACATCCATGCATTTGATTTAACTTGCAAGCAGCCAAGCAGGTATTTTGCTAGAATTTCAGATGTAATAATAACATATGCATATCAATTTTTGTCTTGTAGGCATCTATCAAACACTTGATCTAAGAGATGGAGGCTTGGACTACCTTGGAAAAGGTGTTTCCAAGGTAACCTAATACTCTGGAATCTGAATTGATGTTTTTTGTTTATTTTTGGACACTTTCTATTGTCTGTTTAAACTAAGTTTTACATTCTATGATTAGGTTGCTTCCAATGTGAATACCATTATCGACCCTGCTATTGTAGGCAACGTTTGTTTCATCAATCAATTCACTCTTTCCCCTCAATATCAATCAAAATATTACTATTTTAGTTGACATACATAATGTAAACATATATGTTCATATTACAGGACCCAACTGATCAAACTGGTACTGACAACTACATGGTTCAAAACATGATGAAACTAAGAACGAGTAGGGCTGGTTCAAGCAAAAGGTAAAACTATAGTCTCAACTTTCACATCTTAAATTTATTTATATTTTTTTTTATAAATGATCTACTTTCTTGTATATGCCAAGATAACTGCTGAATGTGGTGACAAAGTTCATATTGTTGGAGATGATCTTTTAGTCACTAACCTAACGGTAAGTTTTCCAAAATTCAATTTCAAGTTTTGTGAAGGGCAAAATCATCATTTTAAAAGATTTAACGATCTATAGACCACCAAGGGGACCCAAAATATTAGTATAGCAGAATGACCCAAAGACAAAGAAGCAGTCGGTTTCTTTCCAATTTTGTTGTCTTTGGAGTTTAGTTATTTGGTTTGAAATTGGTTTAACAAATTTCAAGAATTTTTTTAGGTTATCTTTAATTAACTCTGTCTATTGGATTTCCATCTGAATTTGGTACTAAGATTAAATTGTTTATTTCTATTGATTCTCATGATTTCAATTTTTTTTTGTTCTTCAAGGATACAAAGGTTAGCTGATATGAAAAGGTTAGCATATATGAATAAAACGGTAAAACTTGTAAAGATTGGATTGTTTATTTCTTTTTTAGATAATTTGCATAAATATCTTATTAATTAGTTTTTTTATTGCAGATTTTGGCACCGTGTGTTCTGTTAAACCGACCAACTAAATTGGTTTGGGTTAGTTGGATTTCTACAAATTTACATTTTTTTAAAGTTTAGGAACTTATAGTCTCTTTTTCTATTTGTTAGTATCTTACACTCAATGTTTTTAGGTAATCATCATGGACAGAGTTACTGTTAAAATCATGTCATGTTCATGCAAAATGGCAGATATCACAGATGAAGGCGTTTCATGTAAGATACAAAGGCCAGTATAACAAAATGTGAATTACTTTTTTCTTAATCTTATATAATGGTCAACATGTTTTACTCATATTGGTAATTTTGAGTTAAGAATGACATTGGAATATATATTGTGAAGTCACTTGACATGTTTGTATTCTATAGAGGTGAAAAATATATTTATTTTTTTTCTTACAGTGGTGGAACAAATTCACAAGAGAAGACAACCAGTCCCCTCCATGGATGTCGCAGTATACTACATCCAACCAACAAAAGAAAAGTAAATTATTTTATCTTTTTTATAAAATCAACAACTGATAGTATCTTAATTGTGTTCTTTTATGCTTCTGTTAAAATACATACAGTCTTCACTTCCTATTGGCTAACATGGCTGGAAAAGTGCCTCTATATAAAGAGTATGTGAAAGATCATACACCTTTTTTTTGATGTTATAAATCATGTATCCAAGACTATTAATATCATTGAATTTTACAACTTGATTTATTTATGCTTTTAGAGTTTATGTCTTCTTCAGTTCATCTGTTTCAAAGAATTGGTTGCTGACATAAAAAAGGAGCCAAGTATAAAGTCTCGCTTACGCGGCATGAAAGAGGTTTGGTTAAAACATTTTCATTATCCCTTTTCTTCGCGTAATATAAATAAATTTTTAATTATAATAACATGTGAGGGAATTTGCAGATGAACTTGGAGTACTTTGCCATTCATAGCTAGGTATATAATCTCATTTACATAAATTGATTTACCTTTTTAATAAGATTTATTTAAGTTAAAATTATACCATAACAGTGTTTTATCACAGATCATGGGAGCGCGTTGGAAGAAGTTTATGGGGATGAAGAATTTTCCCGAAAAGGAGATGAATGTGTAACTGCCATGGCCAATCGTATTGCAACTGTATTTGCTTCAATGTTGGTATGATTTTATAATAGTTCATTTTTTACCTATCTATTTATAAAATATAAGGTAAAAATTAGCAATGTATTTATATTTATTTTCATATAACAACTTAGTTTAACACATAATAGCAATGTACTTATATTTTGTATTATGTGTTAAAGAAAATGTAAGTACATTGTTATTATGAGTTACATATTACTATTATTGTTGACAAATGTGAGCATGTTCTTATTATGGGTAAATAAATGTAACTATGCATAAAAAAAATAAAGTACATTGTCTATATTTGTAACATGAGTATGTTGCTATTTCTTACAATTTACTCATATTTCTTTAGGAGTTCCCATTTGTGCGTTACAGAGCTGCCAAATCACTTGACCCCAAAACAATGACAACATTTTGTGATCTAATCCCTACAAAACTTGCTGCTGCTGTTTGGAATAATCTTATGAAATATAAAACTCTCAACCACTTCCCACAAATTGAAACATGCGATTTGCTCATTTCTATGTAAGTCGTATGAAGACCTCTTCTATATATGTAATATGTTTTGATTAATATAATACTATGTTTTACCATTTGCTACAGCTTGAAATAAGGAAAAAAAACAAACACAGCGCCAAAGGCGCATGTAATTCCCCTCTAGTTAGAATAAATGCACAAAAATCATAAAATTGGGTTAAACAGTTTATAAATCCATTTTTATATTTTTCCCAACTTAAAAATGTTTAATAACAGTAATACAAAAAGTTTGGGTAATTTTGGAAACTGTTTTCTATTTATCTCCATTTTTTTTATTAGAATAAATGCACAAAAATCATAAAATTGGGTTAAACAGTTTATAAATCCATTTTTATATTTTTTCCCAACTTAAGAATGTTTAATAACAGTAATAAAAAGTTTGGGTAATTTTGGAAACTGTTTTCTATTTATCTACATTTTTATTAGAATAAATGCACAAAAATCATAAAATTAGGTTAAACAGCTTAGACATCCATTTTTATATTTTTCCTAGATTAAGTATGTGTAATGGCAGTATTATAAAAGGTTTGGGGAATTTTCTTAACTAATTGCTATTTTTCATGAATTTTTATCTATTTAGAGAATTAAATATAAGAAAAATGGTTATACATATCTATAAACCATGAAAATTTATTCGGAAGTCTTTTAATGTAGTTAGAACCAAAATCTAAAGTTTGGTAATTTTTATTAACTGTTTAGTATTTTTCATGATTTTATGGTTATTCAAGATACTAAAATGGTGAAAAATAGTTAGACAAATCAAAACTTCAAGAAAATTATCTTGAGGTCTTTGACTTCAATTAAAACTGAAATGCAAAGTTTGGGAATTTTTATCATCTGTATCTATTTTTCACGAATTTATATTGTTATGAAGGCACACAAATTTGGAAAAATAGTTAATCAAATCAAAAATTCAAGAGAAAATTTCTGGAAGACGTCTACTGTATTTTAAACAAAAATGTAAAATTTGATGAATTTTGGAAACTGTTTGATAATATTTTTGGATTTTTAGGAGTTTAAAACACATTTAAATGTATTGAAATACCCTCAATTAATATACAAAAATATGGAAAATGATATCCAAAATTATCTTAATCACATGAGTTATAAAATTTCACCATTTCAGAAAAATGTTTGTAACTTAACAATATTAAATTTTGACACATTATTGGCATAATTCTATTGTAATAAGAAGTATATTAGTATTAGATTTCAATTAGAGACTCATTAGTGTGTAACATCGTTGTAGGAAAAACGATAGTGGTACGAGTGGAGGGTAGTTCAAGGCACCATTTGCATCATCTCAATACATATTGTGAGTATTCACCACTCCCCTATTTTCGGTTTTTAAATGTTTTGGGGTGGAAAAACATGTCCTAAACTTTTTATGTTCGTTGTATTTATTTTGACTCGTATGAAACTTGGTTGCTATATTTCGTATGTATGTGTATGTTACTTTAATTCATGAGGACTGTATCGCGGTTAAGTCCCTGGAATCTCTAGACACAACTCATTAACTCTTTTGAGCCTATGGTTATTATGGATAGCGCTATCAGGAGGTAGACAACCCCTCACTCGCACGATTCGCTTGAGTGTATTTTTACCATTTTATACACTATGTTTGCGATACACATAGTAGTCAATAGTGCACGATTCGGTCATTAGGCTTGGGTTGTGAACTCATGAATGGAAACTTGATGCACATACGAATCTTTATGCACATACCAAACTTGTATTCTCATGTTAGCAGCGACACTTGTATACTTATTTTAACAACGAAACTTTTATGCTTATTATAGCAACGAACTTTGTTTCTCATTATAGCAACGAACTTTTATTATTGAAAACTTATATACTTGTCTTAGCAATGAAATTGTTTGCTCCGTGTAACAAAGAATATTATTTTGATTCGTGAAAACTCATTTTAGCAATATACTTTTATTTATGGAAACTTTTATCAAAACTTTTATTTCGATTCTTGAAACCAATATTATATTTAATTTGTGAGTACTCACCAACTATTTTTATAGTTGACGCTCGTTTTACATGTTTTTTCAGGAATCATCTAGTAAGAGGCACGTAGAGACACAACACTTGTAGGAACATTTGCATGTGTTGACTTTTAAATACATTGTAATTTCTTTTAAAAATTTGTTCAAACTCATTGTAAATTTGTAATGATTTTTAATACTATGGTTGGTGTTGTCTTTAAACCTTTGCTATGAGACCCTTTGTACTGCCACGCCCTGTGTTTGCGCTTTAGCGGGGTGTGACACTTATATAGTTTGTCACAATTAGGGTTTACACAATGTAAACCCTAATTGTCATGGCCTTTCATTTCCATGATCCATGGGTACAAAAACACCATGGAGCATCCTATGGGTTTTAACCCAACTTGATAATCCATGGAGCATTAGCCCACTATACAAGTATGGATGATTTACACAATCAACCCATATATTTAATTAGTCTCCTTTTGATCACTTAATTAATTCCAAATTAATTCTTGATCAATACTAATTAAATAATCTTATTAATATATTAGAACTTATAATATATTAGTAAACCTTAAGTGTTATTTCTCTCATTTTAGTCTATCCAAATGCATGATGCCATGCAACCCAAATGGACCATGCCAATCGGGTCAAGTACATACCAAATATAGTTATGGACTTAGACACTAATCCAACAATGAACTCACCAGCTTTATGCTGATACTCTTTCAAAACTGCTTGTATTCTCAGGAAATCAGTAGACAGGTACCTCCTGGAGTTTTGAGAAGACGGAGCATATAGAGTCACGTCTTTTTCTTTTGATTATACTTTTTATGTATAAAAACAAGAATCAAATAGATGTAAACACCTTTTCATATATGTATTCAATGTAATGGTTGTGTTTACTATGATTACTATGATGCAATTGTTGTGATACTACATATGACGTCATCCAACCCCGAACGTTTCCGCCGTTCCGGTTTAGGGGTGTGACACTTTTGAATCAAGATCTTTTTGTTCCTCTTAATACATGATGTTAAGTGCTCAAATTAATTTTTCCTTGGTTTTTAGTGATGAATAAGACCTTTGAACATGCAATACAAAACTAGTATTCACAAAAAGATGCTGTTTGAGCAACAGTTTTGTAAAAATTGCTAAAAATCGAAATATTGCATTTTTCCAGTGAGGTCAGATGGGTTTGAAAGCCAACTCAAAATAATATATTTCCGAAAAAGAATCTCGAATTTTGGTTAGGAAATGAGTGAGATATGACAGTTTAAAGTCAGGTTAAGAAATCTGGCAGATTGCATGCATGATGATTGGTTAGAAAAGGTGAGTTTTCATCATTTCTTTGAGTAAATCTTTTGAAATATTTTATAAATTTATGATAAACTCATATTCTAGTCATGTTTCCAGAGATCAAAAGATCAAAACTTATCAAAATGTATACATGCATTTATGAACAAAATTTTGTTTCTCAAAAACTCTTAACTTGAGTTTGATGTTTTAATCCTTAAAATCGATTTTTTTCACTAAGATCATGAACATGCAACATTGTTTATCATACATGCATGCTGTTAAAACACATCCATGATTTTCTAAAAACCATTTTAACAAAAAGAAAACAAGTTTGAAGAAGATGAAGAAGTAGAAGAAGGAGAAAGTGTAAGAAAAACCTTTAAAACAAGAAAGAAAGTGAAGGAAGATGAAGGATTTTCGTGATTACCTTGAAGAACAACCCTAGAAGATGAAGATTTGAAGGTTGAGGGATGTTCTTGGCTGGAGAATTTCGTGGGTTCTGAGAGAGAAAGAGAGAGTTTGAGAGAAAAAAACTTGTTCTTGAAGGATGTAAAAAGGTGGAGTGAAGAGTGAGTGAAAATGAGTAGTGTGTGCCTTTTGAGTGTGAGAGAGATATGGGGAGAGAGGGATCCGAATTTTTGAGGTATAATACCCTCTATTTCTCTTTTCTCTTTATTATAATTAAATCTTTTATAAAAAAAATATCAAAGTTTTATAAAATATACAACTTAACCTAGCTTTTATCCATAAAACCTTGATTTTTGGCTTATAAATTAAGGGTAAAATGTTAATGACTTAATTTTTATTATCCTTGATGATATTTTCCTGAATTTAATTATTTTGAAGTGATATTATAAGGTTCATAACAAACTTTATGGAGTTTTAGGTGTGAAAGTTTATAAATTTGAGTTTACGGCTTTTAGGGTTTTTCGGATTTTGCTAAACTTTGAATATCAAAATAAATTGAATCTTTAAGACTTCAAATTATTTTTGTGTTTCCTAACTCTTATTCAAGTTAGAAATAATGTTTGTAGTTTATTTTTATCGGTTTATTGGCATTCTATGTAGTGATTCCGAGATCCAAACGAAATTGAGGAATCAAGTATACTAGCCCTAGTCTTCAACTTCGACTTAAGTTTCTATGAGACTTTGACCTAATTTCTACTACTAGGTCAAGTGCAAGATGGGTTTATATGATTCATGAAATGGTGTTCAAGTCAAGGAATGACCCAAATATGGATAATCATTACACTTAAGTAGTTGTAGAATTCACATACCAATGTGAAATTTAAGTACAATATCCATTGTTTCTAATTATTTCCAAGTTTCTATTAGGTTATAACTTAGCTTTTAGTTACAAAGTCTAGTATGTGTTGTGCCTACACGTGCAACTAAGTTTATCAAATCTAGAACTGACTCGAATTTTGACGGTTGTCACATTCATGCATGTTCATTAATTCACATGTCATATGCTAAAACTCAAACTCAAATGTTTGGGTCAAAGGAGTCCTTATAAACAACATAAAACTCATTTTTAAGAGTTCTTGAGAAATAAGATTTTTTTTAAGTTAATGCATGTATGTAAATTATGTTTTTTTAAATATATTTGATCTCTAGAAACATGACCATAACATGAATGGATCATGATTTCATTAAATATTTGAAATTATTTTCTCAAAGTAATGAATAAAGTTCACTTTTCCAACCTATTAGCAAGCATGCAATCTGCCAGATTTCTTTACCTGACTTTGAAATGCCATATCTCACTCATTTCTTAACCAAT